GTGGAACTCAAAACTGCATAATTTGCCCCAGTGGTAGAGACGGTGATTGCATGAGCTCGGGTATAGTTTATCTGATCTCCTGTAAGACGTGTGGTGACGAATACATTGGCGAAACGGGTAGACCCCTCTGTGTTCGCATGAAAGAACACCTAGCCGGCAAAAATAGACCAAATACCCCGCTAGGCACGCATAGGACCCAGAGACATAACGGGGACGACTTCGAAGTATGTGTCACGATCCTCGCACGCGAATCAAGAACACAGGCGCGAAAAACTCTCGAGGCACTCTGGATTAATTCCAGAAATCCGAAAATGAACCGCAGGGAAGAATGCCTCATTATCACGCGTGATATAGGGCAGTATATAAAACTGCTTTTCTGATGTGAGGGGCACATTATACTTCCACGTGATTTCTGTGCGGTTGGTCTCTACGTGACATACTTAGTGGAGACCTCATAGAAAGCGGTGAGTGTGCAAAGCTGTGTTCAAAGTGAATGAAATCTTGGTTTGGAGTTTCTTTGTTTGATTATGGAAGCGTCTGGCCGAGTGAGTTGCTATCAACTTGACCTTTCCAGGCTCTGAAGAAGGCGAAATCCGCCGAAACGTCAGCTTAATCGTGAACAAAGGTTGCTATCAACTTGACCTTTCCAGGCTCTGAAGAAGGCGAAATCCGCCGAAACGTCAGCTTAATCGTGAACAAAGAATAATAACACCTCGCGTTTGCTCAACAGAAATACGAACAATATTAACAGTAATAACGAATGATTACAAGGAAGTGACCGTTGGTTAGCCGTAAGCGATGCTGCGCCGCGTCTTTTTGGGACCGGTGCGGCGGCTGAGGGAGACAGTATGCTGGGGGCGGAGAGGGTTACAGATTGGCCGTGTTTCGGCCAAGCTAAGTTTTCAACATTATAGCGGTGAGGTGCATTTTGGTGGATCGATGAGGACAGCAAGTTACATTAGTGTTGACGGTGCTATGGACAGTGAATTATGAGTCAACTACGGAACACAGTGATGCGACTGGTCGTGGACAATGCTATGTCAGCAACGTGAAGTTGGAGAATCGATGGGTGGCACCATTCCATTCCCTAAGAATCAAGAGCCAGTATGATAATGGCTGAAACTGATAAGCCTATAGCGAATTTACAGAATACATTGCATAATTTGGCCGCTCAGCGGCACTGTACACATTGCGTGTACATTGTGGAAGGAATGGTACATGCCACCGATGGTGCTGCAAACAGAACGCATTTGGAAGCACCCGCCACTACTAACATCGCACCTTAGACAAGCTGAGAAACGAAATACAATACTCTGCTAATTACTGAACGATGAATGTGTGAGAATGAGTAAGAATAAGTGAGATTGAATGAGGATAAGTTGAGGTAATTGAGAGTGACTGGGAATGATATTGCGAGGAGCGGATTTTCTGCGCTACCGATCGGGAGTAAGGCCAGTGATGGCATATCTCCGCCGTCGAAGGCACCTGGGTTATACTGGTTGCGGAAGCCGAGTGCGTGTGCAACCGCGGCTGATCTAAATTGTTGGTCCTGAACCGCAGTAAACTGCACCTAACTGCCTAAGACATCAAATGTCATCTAGTTCGTTGTTTCGCAAGGAAGTAGTAAACTGTTCCACTGTTACGCCTCCTCTTTCGGATAACCCGTCGTTGGTGTGCTAAAGTCAAACCTGAACTGTTACTGTGCCTGAAACACTGAACATAATTGACCGAGTAGATTACAAAAGTTACATTGCGGTGTTTGGTGTACGACTGCGAGGCGGCCATTCATAGACATCAAATACCATTGTCTAGGAAGATAGCAATTTTCCAGAGAGAAGTTCTCTATAGGAATACCATAGCTAAGAAGCTCTCAAATGAATACTGCCCCATGGCTGTTAAAAATTTTTTAAAATTACCGTAGTGTTCATTTGATGATCTTAAAGAATTGCCAAGATTGAAGAGATAGCACATTCTTGTCAATCGGATAATTGAAATTTTGACAATAACTTCCGCTAAGATCTGCTTGAACACCAAACTTTTCATAGTAGGTTTTTAAGAAGTGTTGCTTCCCAGCAGAAGAAGTGGTCATAAGCTTTCCTTGAAATAATCTTTATCGAACAACATTGAAAACTTTATCCTTGCATTGACAAAAATTTCTACTCACACAGAAGAAAAGAAAGCAGTACCGCTTGAAGCAGCTCATGTTTGGAAGAGCAGTCAACCAACGGCCTGAGTTGATGTAGCTGCCAAAAAAAAAGAAAACCATCCGTTAATAAATAGCATATCAATATACCCTTCAAGGTACTGATGAAGGCAATGCTGTCGAAGTGACAGCTTATGTTGTGTTGTAGGTAATTTTTGTAGGCAAGCGAACTTATGCTGTATGACGATCTCGCGTTCGCCGAGTAGAAGAATAATACACTTGTAATCCACTACCGTGGCTAATAGAGAGTCCATCCTGAGAACTAAGCGGTAACCAAAATTTTGCATTCTTGATTGCATTGTGTTAGCAAAGGATTGGCACTCTTTATGAGAACCGAAAGCTGATCATTAGACAAGCATTACATACTGTTTCTTCCTTCTTCTTCAACAAGAAGCTCGAAGATGACTTGCATTGCGGAGTCGTTACATACATCGGTGCAAAGCGTGGAAGAGCTATGAACTATTCATGAAAACGCAGCAAAACTCTGGCTAGGAAAGAAAAAAATTTTTTGAGACAACGAAGACAATTAAAAGTTTACTAATCTCGATGAGGAGGTACATCGCCAAATGAGTGGAGGTACACTTCTCGTCACACTCTTGTGGAATCACACTTGTTGTCGCGCTACCAGGGACTTTCTGCAGCTCTCCGTTCACCTAACTAATAACCGACTGAACTCACCAAAGATAGAAGTAATAGGCACTTAGACATTTGAATGGCTCGCATTCACTCATTGTGCGGACACCGTCATAATTTCCATTGTTTCAGGGTTTTGCTGGCTTAACCATTCTGATTCCCTGGATTCTCTGACGTCCCGAGTTCAGCCGGGCCA